CAGTGGGCGTCGTGTTCCCCCCCATCCCCATCACGCGCCGCAAAAGGCCCCGCCGGCTTGTGAGAGCTGAAGGGTCTGTACGGAGTCGGGTGCGGAGCGGCAAGCGACAGCCCTGTACTGTGCTCCGAAGTCTTAAGAAGTTGATAAAACCACGAAGTACGGGAGGTTAGACTGGAACTACTGGGGGAGGGGGCGAGGAGCTGCTTTCCTGCCCCGTCACTAGAGAAAGGCTCCGCAGGAAAAACGTCTGCGGCTGGTCGCTGGGTTCATGCAGTTCAACACTTCTGAACACTGGAGGGGAACGTGTAACTCCCAGTATTTAGCTGGCCTTGAAAGGGATAATAAAGATAATGAAAGCATTCCTCAGAAATCGTGCATTTAGGTCTCTTCGTTGTCTTGTAGTTTTAAACCAGCTCTACTCTTTCTGTCATAGTCTTTCCTAATATATTCCTCCAGGTTTTTTGGAAGGGGTTGCGATGGGGCCTGTGTTTTGTTTCTTATAAGAGCTCAGATATTAAAGTCATTCAGTAAGGAAATAATCTCAAAGAGGCTACATTTCTCATACAAATCTTATTGTAGTGTATATATGGTAATAGTGTTAGTAGGTGTTTGTTTTGTTGTATAACAGCTGAAGAAGGATCTGCTCTAAGGGCTTTTGAAGTCGGCAGAACTATTCTGGTTTGCCATTTTGTCTTGACACACTAATTAGCCATGGTACACAATGCAATTCTGAGATTTGTGTGAAGTTTTTTCTTCAGGCAGTTACAGGTGCTAAGCTTGAGTAAATGTTATACGTAAGGTCTATGCTGTTCTGTTGGTAATATTATTTTGTTAATTCATATCTATGCTTATTAGATTTATTCAGTTGATGATGATGAGAAATCTCTGTCCAGTCTGGAGATTATTGTGCCACGTGATTTAGCAGATGGATTTGTCAATAATAAACGGGAGAGCTACAAGTTCAAGTGAGTAAAAGCCTTAACTTTATTTCTTCTACCTTTAATTATGAATATTACTCTATAGTAATACAGATCTATGGAACCCGGTAAAACCTATGCTTAAAACTAAGCTTTGGTTTATTTTTATATGACTCCATTAACAAGAGGAATACTCCAGCATATTATGCTCTGAACGAGATTGACAGCATTTGAGAAAATTGTGGGGTTTTTGCCTATCCATTGCAAGTCACTGTGCCTATCCAAGTCTTAACTCAAAGATTTTATCTTTGTTTATCAATTCTTCCATTTTTACAACTTGTTTTGAATTTACATATGAAAAATTAATGTAAGACTGTTCTCTTTTGATCTAATGAGTTGGTGTAGGTTAGCTAAAGATGTTTCAATGTACAACACTGTTTAGAAACTGTTTCAGACATAACCAAAACACAGTAAAGAAATCCAGAGGTTGTTGAAAGAAACAAAACCATGGTTGTTGAATGCAAGTAGTTTTTAGAAACTAAATATAGGTACCAGCAATATCAATCAGATATTTTTACATTTTCAGCAGAAAACTTGGAGGCAACATTTTAAAATTTTGATAACTAAGAAATCTAGATGTATAACCACCTCTGATTACTAGGTTGAGATTGTCTTTTTCCAACTTGAATGTTCTTTATTTTTTATAATACCAAATAAAGTAAATGTCTTGCTCTATGTTATTAAAAAAAGAGAGCCACAGATAAACATCTGCAGCTCAGACTGATGTCATTTTACGTCAGCTAAGGAAATCTGTTCTGCTTGGGAAGAGAGGAGCTGCCCTCTCCAGCTGGATTAATATGCAAAACTAGAGTAGGTTGCAGATGCCCAAGACAACTGTAATGAATGCTGATATTTTTTTCTGACTTTATCATTTGTTAAAAAGCCTGTAAAGATGGATTTTGAGAAAAGCTATGGCTTATTATTCTTAAGACAATGCAAAAATATTGTTATGGAGCAAGCATTTATTTTTCCTCCATAAAACTCATACTTGCATGCAGTCTGTCTATCCTGGTCACCTCAATAGTTTTTCTTCTTTGTTCTTACTTTCTTATATGGGAATAAAACACAATTGTTTGAATGATGACTGATTAAGAGTTAGCAGGATGGAATATATGCCTCTATAGTTTGTGTATCACATTTGTCTGTGATGCTGTACACACTGCATAATCCCTTGCAGTCCATGATGCTTTTTTATACCCCTGGTGTCTGTAATACCTTTCTATATACCCTGTGAAGTTCTGTGTGGGTATACAGTTCCAGATAGGGGGGACAACATAGCAGGGCACAAGCAATCCAGGAGGTTTCTGAAGTGTATCAATAACAACTTCCTAACATGTGATCAAAGAGCTGATGAGGGGAGAAGCTCTGCTGCACCTCATATTTGCAGATATGGAAGAACTGATCAGAGATTTAAAACTTGGGGTTAGTCTTGGCTGTAGTGGCCATGGGTTAGTGAAATTCAGGATCCTAAGAGAAGGGAGCAAGGCAAAAAGCAGGATCACAACTGTGGACTTGGAGAACAGACTTTGGCCTGTTGAAGGACCTGCTTGAAAGAGTCCCATGAGACACAGACCTGGAGAGAAGTCCAGGAGAGCTGGATAATTTTAAGGATCACCTCCTCCAAGCTCAAGAACATTCCATCCTGATGAGAAGGAAATTATGAAAAGGCAGCATGAGGCCTGTATGGATGGGCAAGCAGCTCCTGACTAAACTCAAACTTCAAAAGGAAGTCTACAAGAGATGGGAGCAGGGTCAGGTGACCCAGGAAGGCTGTCTGAGGAATGGGATCAGGAAAACCTAGGTAAGTGCACAGTGAAGGTGTTGAAAATGAGCTAAGCTGCAGGTCTCAGAGGGTTGTCATCAGAGGTACAAAGTCCAGCTGGAGGCCAGTCACTAGTGTTGTAATCCATACTGCGATCCAATACTTTTTAGCATTAATGACCTGGGTGATAGGACTGAGTGAAACTTCAGCAAGTTCACAGACAGTATGAAACTGGGAGGGGTGGTTGGTGCACCAGATAGTTGTGCTGCCTTTCAAAGGGACCTCAAGAGGCTGGAGAAATGGATGAATAGAAATCTCATGAAGTTCAACAAAATGAAATGCCAAGTCTTGCTCCTGAAGAGGAATAACTAGGACATGTTGAGGGTTGACTGAAAGCAGGTTTGCAGAAAAGGACGTGGAGTCCTGGGAGACAAAAAGTTGAACATGAGTCAACAGTGCACCACAGGCAGCAAAGAAGGCCACATCCTCTGGGCTGCATTCGGCAGAGTGTTGCCAGCAGGTCAAGGGAATTGATCTTTCCCTTCTAGTCACCATAAGCGAGATCATATCTGGAATTCTGTGTCCAGTTCTGGCCTACAGCAAAGGGCCACAAAGATGATTAAGGGACTCGAGCATCTGTCATGAGGAGAGGCTGAGCAACCTGGGACTATTTATCCTGGAGAAGGCTCAAAGGGATCTTATCAATGTCTATAAACATCTACTGGAGAGAGAAGAATAAAGAAGATAGAGCCAGGTGCTTCTCAGTGGTGGTCAGTGGCAGGACAAGAGTTAATGGGCACAGATTGAAATACAGGAAATACAAAAAATCCTTTTTTACCATGAGGTGACTGAATACTGGAACAAGTTGCTGAGAGAGGTTGTGGAGCCTCCATGGATAGAGATACTCAAAACCTGACTGTACAGACCCCTGCTCTAACTGACCCTCCTTTGAGCAAAGGGAATGGAGCAGGTGATCCCTTTCGACATGAAGTATTCTTTGATTCTGTAAGGCAACTGCAGATATTTTATATAGGAGGTGACAAAACTTAGATTGCATTAGATACCTACGTGTGACTTACAGTAACTGTGCAGCAGAATGAAGGAAGAAGTTACAAAAAAATGTGAGCTGGGCTATACTGGTGGGATGCTGTATTTGGTTATAGTGTAATCTATTTATCCAGGTTTCAGTGTGGTGCCAGTTACAAACACTGATTCCCTTGACGGATTTAAAATACGGTTTATTTTTTTCTATGCCACATCATTTTATCAGAGGATTTTATTGTACAGATCTTGTCAAAGCAGCACTGTGTACAGCCTATTTATGTACAATAGCACAACAGCATGCTGTGGTTAAGACTACAGGGAAAACATTGTACTAAGTTATGTAAGCCTAATGATGTAAACATTGACTATTACAAACACAAACAAAAATGTATGAATCAAGTAGTGTTTTAAGATTCTGAGCAATTATTATTTGCTTAATATTTTCAGATTTCAAAAAATTTTTGATCAAGAGGCAAAACAAGATGTGGTTTTTGACAGCATTGCCAAACCAGTAGCAGAATGGTACGTTGTTGATCTTGTGAGTAATTGGGGTAACACAGGGTCAAAAATAACTTTCATTGTATTACTTGGAGAAAAGCAGGCAAGTGTTTGTCTTACTTTTGTAAAAGTGGATTGGTGTTTTAATTTTCTAAATATTGACACATCTGAACCTACGAGATATGCAACAATCCCCTGAGATTTTTATGCATGGTAAAGATCCATTATTAACTCCTAAAATATCTCTACTTCTGCTGCCCCCTTTGTTGGATAGGCATAGAAATCCATGTCTAACTAGTTTTTTGTTTGTAATATAAGCTTACTTCATTGTGTTAGAAAAGTATTCCCTATATAGTTCCATGAAGGGGTAAGCTTAACGAAAATCTTATCTCCCTGCTTAGTTGTCATTAAGTTAGGGACACTCATGAGCTAATACCTGCAGAGATATTCTCAAAATTTGCCCTCATTTTTTCTGTCTAAATATGTAGGGCAGTGATTTTAGCACTGTTTTTGTTTTTATCCTCCATCTAATAATCAAACAACGCTCATATTTTAGAGTTTGCAAAGGCAAGCATTTAAGACTGATGTAGGAGCCCTCTTCACTGATTTTGTGGATTGAATGCCACTCTGAACCAGGTGGATTTTACAATATGCTATTCTCTTTGCTCAGCTTTTGGCCACATTGCTGAAGTTGGCACTGGTTTTAGTAGGGGAGAAAATCCCACACTGGAGGAAGCCAGTGTGGAATTTCTACATAATGTTTGTTTATCAAACTTACTTCTCAGAATCCAAACATGTAGTGAGTTGAGAAGTACTACTTTAGGTACCAACTTTTGTCATGCATTGTCTGACTCATCTGTTGGTTTAGACTGTGATTCTGCAAGTTATTCTTCAGCCTATTGCACTGCCACGTTTTGCACTTTAGGAAAATCATCCTCAGTTGAACACTTAGTCTTTCTCGAATTGTTATTTGGAAGTAAAAATATACGTAGCTCTATATGATTTCATTTTCTTGATTTTTCTCCTCTATTTTCTTCTTAAAAGTCCCACATAAAGCAGGAGGGCAATTGACAGTGAAATTGAAGAGGCAGTGAATTTGAAACTTCACTAGAATAAGTTAAATATACTGTAAAAAAAAATTTGTTATATGCTTCTTTCACCCAAAAGGGATTTCTTTGCTTATCTGACTTTATAACATATAGCTCCAGGTTAACTCATTTACTTACCTTAAAATATTTCTGAGTTTGATGGTGACAGGAGACAAAAACTTCTGTACCTTAACTGACTGTGCTTGGAAAGAGAAGGGTTAAAACTCTCGATGTTACATGCTATGGATTGAATTATCCTCAACAAAAACTCAGAGTATCAAAGCTAACTAGCAACAGACTGACTTTTTTTCCTTTTGAGTGTTTTGCTGGAATATGGTAAGGTTTTCCAGTTGAATAATTTGCTTGTACAGTGCTCTAATAAACAGGAAGTGGTATTGTTTTTCCTTTGTTTCAGTGTTAGCTGATACAAGATTTTTATATGTTGATTTGCTCCATTATGTAGAGTTTAGTTTTGATTTTTAGAGATTTTTAAGTACTTAAACACTATTAAAATCAGCAGTGTTTAAGCATACAATTATCTCCAAATAGCTGAGTCTTTAATGCTAAAGAAATCATTCTTAACTGAGTCAAGACAATCTTCACTAAGTGTTATAACTTGTATTCTAATTGGTTTTTTTACTGTTAACGGTAATACTGAAGGACGAGTATATATATAGTAGAGTAGGCAATACCTGAGGTACATTCCTGTTCCTCAAAGTTTTCCTTAATTCTTTCCTTTTTCTTAGGCAAAAATATGTATTTCAGAATGTCTTCATAGTCATGAGGTTCCTTGGCTAATGGAATCTTTAACTGTCTGAAATTTATTTCACTGTATAGTTAATGATTCAATTTTCCTTTCCCTTGTGGGACAACAAGAATTGACCTGTTACTCTGAAAGACCACAGTCTTTTATAGCAAAATGTTCTTTACTATTTGTTTCTTTCCAAGTCAACGTTCTTTTGCAGGGAAGAACTGTTGAAAATGCACTCATTTCTGTTTTTGCAGTCCCTTTACTAAAGGAACAGTTTTTATCTGTGTAATGCCAGGGGAAAGAAAGTAGCAGGAAAGTATCAATGAAATAGTTTGGTAGCATTTTGAGTTTCTTCACCATGCATACTTACAGTCATGAGAAAATTCAGTTAGACATGAATGCTTAGGAAAAAAAAATCTTAGGCATTGTTTAAACTAAAACCAGCAATGTAGTGTTCAGGATTCAAAAATCTTTCTAGTTTGTTCATGGATGGATGGAAATTAGATGCAACTTTTTTTTTTTCTTTTTTTCCTTTTAAGTATTCTTTATTTGATGTTAGGCCACTACTTTTCTCTCTTTAAGTCCAGTTACATTGTCATCTTGCCTGTGGTTTCAGAGGCACCAGGCATTAGTTCATTTAATTTGCTTCTTCAGTCAAAAGTGGCAACCTCTTCAAACCATTGTAAGCATGTGATTTACTTGATTTTTTTTTTCTTATTTTGTTAATATTTGAGTCATCTCTTACTTGGTTTCTTTTTATTATTTGTTTGTGCTTTCCTCTTTTCATTTTAAATATGTGTTCTTGATATTTCTTTTGTGTAGAGCCAACTTGATCTTTAAGAAGCAGCACTATACATCATCAAAAAATAGAGAAAATAAATAACATCCTTATTTTACAGTTTGCTAACAATTAAGCATTGCTTTAATCTAACAATAGAACAAGGTTACTCTTATGATACTTCAAATATTAGTGTTATGGTGATGAATGCAGTCCGAAATTAAGTAGAAAATCTTAGTGCTTCAGAATTAGTTTTCTTTTCAGTTCTAATATGGCTAAAGTTTTCTCTTTATTTTTTTTAAAGAATAGCATTGAAAATATTTTCTTTTCAGATATATCAGGCAAATAAGAAATAGCTCAACTGTTTATGAATCCAATGGCAATCTTCTATGTTTTTTTGAAAGATCTGGGAGCCTCCAGGATAATACTCCCATTGCTGCAGATTTTAGTTTCTTCTCGTGTATATACAAACTGCTTTCCTTTATTCTTTTCTGGGTTTTGGTTTTTTTTCTGATGCTTATTCTTACAGAAAATTTAGTCAAAATATTTTTCAGAACAGCATCATTATAAAGTTGACTATATTTTGTGATGTCCCTCTTTTAGAAAGTATTTCACCAGTAATTGAAAATGTTTGGAAAACATATTTACATCATTAGATTGCCTTGTAACAGAAAGCCACAGGATGTAGACTAAACATCCTAATAGGATGTTTCAAGCTTTACTGAATAAGCTCATAGAAATCCAGTTACCATCCTTTGCTTTTCTGCTATTATTTTTCTGTTTCTTCCTGTTGAAGTCTATGAATGATATATGATATAATAAAAGTATTTGGACGTGCTGGTTTGTGGTTTCTTTGGGGGTTTTTTGTTGTTGTTTGGTTGGGTTTTTGTCCTCACTAACAACTCGGGGATTTGTGTTTTACTATATATTCAAGAGAAATAACATATCTACAAATTTCTTCAAACTAATGACATTTCAGTAGTTTGTAAAGGGATATTAATTTTGTCTCAAATTGTACTTTCCTTTTGACCATCTAAGCTATAATAATGCTGAATGTGCTTTACTTTCACTGACTTTGTTAGGATTGTAGATTTTTAGTTCACTTTATCTTTACTTTTGTATAATTTGAAATGCAAGCTCTTTTTTTGAGTATTTAACAGTGTAATTATACATGTGCGACATGTTAGATGTTTAAAATAGTTTTAATTACATTAGTTGTAAAAGTACAAACTGTCTTCAGGAAAATTTCAGACTACAACATCAGGAAATATATGTGACAGGAAAATAGAAAAGTAAGTCAGTCATGATTATTTATTCATTATGTAATAGCCAGAACCCACCATTAAATTGCTTATTTGTTGTTTTGCATCTCAAAAAATCTTATTAAGAGCTGTTTTCTGCTCTAAAGAAATTAAAACTCCAAAGAAGTGTACAGAACTCATCCTTTTGAAAGGTTAAATAAAGCAGCTTTTTTAGTGAGGAGACCCAAAACAGGTACAGGTTCCTCACCTACATCTCTCTGCTTAAGTTAGGAAATAATCTGAATTAAGTTCCTTAGAAGATGCACTAAACTTTCATTCTTATTTGGGCTCATCTTACTGGGGCATTTAAAAAATCTTGCTTATATTTATGTATCTTCCTATACATGTGTCACATATAGGACACCCTTTTTACCCACATTCCCTCCCCCTCTGCCCCTCCGGTCTTTTTAGGCTTGTTGAGTGGAACTGCAGCATGTTGCCTATATATTTGTAGATATTGTTGGCTTGTACAGCAGGTTGCTGCATGTCCTAATAGGAAGGAGTGTTTCCAAAGCAAGGAGCTCAATGAAGACTTGCACAATTTTGGTACTACAATGTCAACATAAATGTCAACTCACTTATGTTGTAATAGAAAAGGATTGAATGATTAAAATGTTTTAAGGCCCTTGTGATACGAATCAATTATTTGCTTTTTATAGTCTTGTCACAGTGACTCCCCAGCCAAGTTAAAATTTCTTGGTATCATCAGCATGATAGGATATTTATTACTGTGATCAAAGCTGGTCTTTCTGTCAAGACTTGTTAATCTTCATGATAATACTCCTAAAATGAAGAATGTCTAGTAAAATGACTATGCTGTAGTAGTGGAGGGGTTTTTTTCTGCAATTTTGTTAAGGTGTGATCATCAGGCCTGTAAGCACGTGGATTTTCTAGAAGGTAGTCCTTGTTAACTAATTAAGCGATAGACTTGTATGAACGATTATACATTCTGACCTTGATATATTTGTGACACAATGTGGGAAGTAGTGGCTTGGCTCACTTGCAGGCAACCTTGCATCACAGCTGTATCACTGCTAATGTGAGTTATTTAGGTACGTGTAAAATCTATATATGGTAAAGGACACATTTTTTTGGATGTCAGCTTG